TTTCACAGGAATTATTTCAAATTTGTTCAAAAACTGATTCTGACTGAGATTTTGACACTAAAACAAACATATCGCAGCCTAACCGAACGACCGCATTGTGCGAGATGCGAAGTACAAAAATTAATCTCATTAGAGAGGGCGCACTTTATTGACTGTATAAAGTATACATAAAAGCGAGGGTATTCTAGTGGATGCGATCTACAACCTCTGAATTTGCCTAGTAACGATGAATTTGTCGAGAAAATGGTAATATTTTATGAGAAATAGTTTGTATTTCTCATTTTTTTAAATTCTTTTGCGTAAAACTAAAATTCATGCCAATATTTTTCCATGATTTATAATAATTGAAGTAATGCAAATGCATATTTTCTAAAAAAAAGTCAATTTTTAGTGAAATTTTGCCGGGAATGGGGCTTTAAGATTGCATACAAAATTTGCACTCCATTGCTACTATTACAGTATTATAAAAACTTCAAGACAAAACAAAGGATGTTAAAATATGAAAGATTTATAATTTTTTTTCTCCAAATTCAGCTATGCTCTTGAAAATTTCCATCTGTAACACCCTGAATACAATTATTTTTCCAATTCATTATATTGTATGATAGTGTTATTCTTTAATTCACTATCTTTACGTGATCTTTACATTCACAGTTGTCACATTAATTCTCTATATCACCAGTAGAGTCAACATCCGTCAGATCAGGGAGGAATTAGTTTAGAAAACTAATTCTAAACGAATTCCTCCATAGTCAGATATAATCCAATTTTTATTGTAGCTCCATGGAGGAATTAGATTCTCCATGGTAGCTCTGTATAGGTTCTATGGCGATTGATTACTATTGTAATGAACTCTGATACCTGTAGTTATTAATTGAATGATGGCCTTTGTTCTGTAAATTAATTTAAGGGCAACAGACAATAAATTATAATGAAATTGACCTGCAGCTATTCTTAATGTCATTTTATGCCAATCAGATAATTTTAAACTGGTATGAAAAACTTCCATAGATATTTGATGATCGCAGCTTAGAATCAGTGGGTGTCAGCCCACTTATATACTGCCAGTGGAAAAATTGTGTGAATCCTGTACAAAAAGTTTAAAATTATTCATTTAAATCTGCGATACACTCCATTGTATGACCGTTTTTTTTGACAAGCATATCTTTATGTTGTATGAGGACTTGACGTCACAATGCCGTCCGCTGATAGCAGACTGAGCTGATTTTCTATTGAAGCTCGTCATCGCTTTCAGTCTCATTGAAATTATGACAGATGACGACTTGATGCAGTGCATACCCAGCTTCAGACGATGGAAAATGAAGATAAAAATTATAAAGAGTAAATCAAACAAGAATGTTTAAGCATATTTGGATTAAACTTTGTTCGTTTTTTTTCTATTTGCAGGCCATTATCTTCCCATCGAAGCTGATTCTTTATTCAAATATTCCAGAGTGCAGTGCAGAAAATAATTACCCAATCATGTTCTTTGGAGCATCATTAGCATGTAAGTTCAAATGCCATCTTAGTGCGTTTCCATCTGTCTTCTGGTTGAATCTTCATTTTTTCCCTCACCTATGACTTAAAAATAGTTAATCACTCTCTCCACTATGAATGTCAATATTTTACCTGTGATAACAACTTCCCGTAAATTCTAGCTTGCGGTCAATCCACGTTATCTCATCCAATTAATTATGTTATTTTGCATTTTACTGTGCCAAACTTATGCGCCAAGCAGTTTATATTTGAACCGTTCTTCATCTCTTGGCTACAGTAGATTTATACAAAGTAGTTTATACTAAATGTAAGATTAAATATATACTGCATCTGTTGAGCTAATAATAATGTTTTCAATATTTGGTTTGCATATTTTTTTGGTTTATGTAATTTTTTAACATTCAATATTTTTCTTATCAATGAACAGATGCAAAAATAATATTGTTCCTATTGAGTATAAATAAATTGTCTTGACCAGTGACACAACACAAGGGAAATTCCAGAGTGGGGGATTTTAACCCTCGACCTCAGGGCTCAATGTTGAGGGTAGTGGTGTCACTAGAAATTTCCCATAGAGGTCCAAGATCCTTGACAGGGAGTGCACACCCACTTTAGCCCCAACATGGTTGGAACAAGTTTCCATAATAGGCATTTTCTAGATGCTCGGAAATTTTTTCCGAAAGCAATGTTCCCTGACTTAAGATTTGGATTCTTCCATGACGGAGGAACCAGGGTTCCATGACGGGACCTGTACCCTGTGGACCCTCACTGTAGCTGCTACAGGTCAAGGGCCTAAACAACCCATGTCACCGATTGCTCTGACTAGAGCAATGCATTCATTATTATAATGTAATAATGAATTTTTATTGTTATTGATAGGTCTTGCTGTGCTGTTCTGGAGTGCTGTATATTCACCCAGTAGGCATGTGATAAGATGGACACTTGTTGCTCAAATCCTCTACTTTGCTCTCCAGACAATAGGTATACTGTTTTCATTTCCTTTGACAAGTTTGTTCATATTTGATGATTGCAATGATTTGTCAAGGTAACCCAAGAATTAGTAAAGGAAAGAAAAGGACAAGAAAGAAAGAATTATAAGAAACAAAAAAGAAAGGATAAGATAAAAATAAGATATGTAAAAGCATAAGAAAAGGAAAGAAAATGAATATAAGAAAGTAAATGAAAGAAAAATAAAGAAAACATAAGAAACAAAAAAAAAAGAAAATATTAAGAAACATTAGAAAGGTATTTGAAAGAAAAAGAAATAAAGATAAGGCAGCATAAGCAAGAAAGCGAAAAGGAAAAACAGAAATTATAAGGAATAAGTAAGAAGAAAGAAAATATAGGTAGAGGAGAAAGGAAAGGAAAGATACGGAAGCACAAGAAAGGAAAGTGAAAGAAAAGATAAGTAAATATATGATAAACTAATATTAGTATAGCAGAAGGTAGGGAAAGGTAAGGAAAGATACTGAAGCAAAAAAATAGAGGAAAGTGAAAGAAAAGATAAGGAAATATATGGTAAACTAATATTAGTATAGCAGAAGGTAGGGAAAGGAAAAGAAAGATACTGAAGCAAAAAAATAGAGGAAAGTGAAAGAAAAGATAAGGAAATATACAGTAAGCTAATTATTAGAATAGCAGAAGGTAGGGAAAGGAAAAGAAAGATACTGAAGCAAAAAAATAGAGGAAAGTGAAAGAAAAGATAAGGAAATATACAGTAAGCTAATTATTAGAATAGCAGAAGGTAGGGAAAGGAAAGGAAAGATACTGAAGGAAAAAAATAGAGGAAAGTGAAAGAAAAGATAAGGAAATATACAGTAAGCTAATTATTAGAATATCAGAAGGTAGGGAAAGGTAAGGAAAGATACTGAAGCAAAAAATAGGAGGAAAGTGAAAGAAAAGATAAGGAAATATACAGTAAGCTAATTATTAGAATAGCAGAAGGTAGGGAAAGGTAAGGAAAGATACTGAAGCAAAAAAATAGAGGAAAGTGAAAGAAAAGATAAGGAAATATACAGTAAGCTAATTATTAGAATAGCAGAAGGTAGGGAAAGGAAAGATACAGAAGCAAAACAAGAGGAAAGTGAATGAAAAGGTAAGGAGGTATATGGTAAGCTAAAATTAGAAAAGCAGAGATGTTACATTTTCTTTCTTAATTGCATTTTATTTGCATAATAAATGTAATTAAATAAATGGTTAAACTATATTTAGACCTAACATTGTCTTATTTTTCTCTAGGGTTCCCTTTTTGTTTGTACAGTTGAAGTTTGTTAGCTATTCAATGACAACCACTTGTTCTGGTGACTTCAGAATGGTTAAGAACTGATATTATGTTTTGTATTCTCAATGAATGGTCCGATTTAAAGTAAATATTTTAATTATGAGATTCATGTTGGACTGTACTTTAATGTTTGCGTCAAGCTCCTTCATTATCTCAGATTAACCAATTTGTTTTCTTCTCTATTTTTTTTTTGCAGTGTTCATTTCGATGATTTGGGAGATAAATACATTTTCATTTTTGAATGTTGTAATTGTGGTATTTCATGTTCTGTTAACCACAATTTCATTGCTGTACTACCTGAGAATTATTGGTTATAGATTCTCAACAGGCAGAAGAATACCATATGAAAACTGTGACAAAGCAGATTAGGACACTTCGACTACATCATGTTTCTTCTTCTTGCATATGGCTGTCGATTCGATGACATTCGTAGAAACAGGGTGGACCGCGTACAGGTTGTCATCTCTCACCCCTATGTCATGTTCATCAATGCATACGGATGTGCAGATATATACTTGATGCTTTTATCTATTTTTATGAGATTTATGAAGTAGAACTGACTAATATTTATGCAAATCAACTCCAGCATAACCCTCTAACACCTATAAGGCTTTGTTTGTTTGGATATCTATCACTTTATATGTTTCAACACAGTGCATTTTTTTATGTTAAGGCAAGACTTCGTTTATAACATGTTTTGTGAACCTGACACCCACCGATAATTATCGTGTCATATAAAAATAGTGTTTCATGCGGCCTTTTAGAACACCCACCCCATGAAATTTATGTTATAAGTAATACTTATCCCACCTTTGGCTGCCATATCTACCAATAAAACTTTTTTCCCCTCAAAATTAAATAAGTATAAACCATTGTTATCAGTCCAGTTACTAAACAGTGTATATAGCCACATTCTTTTACAATGACAATGCAATGAGTTCATGAGCAAAGGACTGATTACTTATTACCTCGTACATTCACTTTTTTTTAAATTTGTCAATGAAATTGAATTTTCTTCTCTGTCTAGTTGCTTTTAGTAGAATTATTTTGTATTATATATGAAATAATTTTTGTTTTCACTCTCCTTTGAAAATCTTTGGGAAAAAATATAATGTTCACTAAAATAACGAATAAAAAAAGTCTTGCCTAATCTACTGTAAGATTTTCTGTAAATTATTGTAAACGTGATATAGAAAATACATTATACAACCCATGCTTTATTTATAAGCTAACATGAGGAGTGTTAATAATTACGTTGTTGTTGTGAAATAGGCCTACATTCCTGTAATTAACTTTTTAGCTGTGTATAATACCTATTTGTTCCACTTGAACGGACAAAAGGTATAATATGCATCATTGATTTGTCATTAATTTAGGGAATGATAGTTATTTAGAAGAGAATGCGTTTATTGTGATGTGGAATGCGTTTTTAATGTCCCTAGAATCTGTCACCATGTAAAAAGTACTTAGATTTTTTCAAGATGTACTCTTAAGCACTGCCATATGCATTATGCTTTTGTGACTCTTTAACTGAAACCATAGCATTGTGCTTGTGTGTACTTAAAGATATTTTCATCTGTATGGTACTATTACTCTCACATGAGCATATTTGTCTGTTAACATCCATATGAGCATTGTGCTGGTGTATGTACTAACTTAGCCATACTATGGACATCTGTGCTTGTGTGGACTAAAACTACTACTGTACATATTAGCCACATATGATCATCTCTGTTCTTGTGTGTGCTGAATTGTTCTTGGTTATGCTGTCCTGTTAACTGCCATATGAGCATTTTGCATATGTGTCTATGAGCACATGCATGTTTTGTTAACTGCCATATGTGCAGTGCTGCATTATGCTTATTTGTATTGTTATCTTCTCTAGGCATTATAATATAAGCTTTGTGCTTGTATGTGCTATTAACTTACATGAGCATTGTGCTCGTATGTTTCAGTTAACTGTTGTAACTGAGAATTATGCATATTGTATGCTGGTAATTGCCATATAAGCATTGTATTACTAAAGAAGCGCCTTCATTTATTCACTAATCTAACGTTCCAGCACTTTGCATTCTCTGTAGCAGTAAGAGGGTGCTATAGATATCACTGTTAATAAGACTAGATAAAGCATTGTTTGTGTGGTGAAATTATAAGATTTTTATATAGTAATGCTATATAAGGAGCTGTTTATCTATTTTTTTGAATTAAATTATGAATTACATGAATTAGGCCTAAAACATCAACATATCTTGTTAAGTAAATTGTTTATTTGACATTAACACCAATTGAAAGCATGCTATTTTATTTACATATCTGGAATGATAATGTCAATTTTGTAAAATTTTGCATTAGTATTATTTTCTACATTTAAAAAAATATATATATTTAGTTAATTATTAATTTAGTTAATTTGTTTATTAGTATATCATTTCTTAAACATAGGGAGGTGTTTTACTCAATAATTCACTCCTCCCTGGTTTAACGCATTTAAAATAACAAATATCTTGTATTAAATATGGAGTTTTGAGCGAATAAATAGTTATTACATTACATAACACATTAAACGCAACCTAGAGATACTCTAGATATGGGTGTATGTTGCCGCCAGTTTGTGTTTTCTTGTAAGCTTTTGTATTATACTGTAAATTTAATATACTGGTATCCATTCAGGCGGTAGTGTGGAACAATCTTGACCACATTATTTGAAATTATGAAGGGATTTTTTTGTAGAAGGAATTGTTTCTTAGAAAAGTTCGCTGTTTGGCATATCCTTGGTCCTTGTGCCTGAAGTTTGAATTTTGAAAAATCAATATTATATTTTGTTTATAGAAAGAAGACCAAATATATTGCTTAAATATGCTAGCAATGGCTGACAGTTTTTGCTATGTAGAAGTACCAAATTTAGCTTATACAGCTTTGAAAATAAGAGAATATTTTATGACTTCTGTGTATTGTCAAGCAGGTATATCTTGTTATGTATAGAAGAATATTTTTAAAATAATATCTAGGTAGATATTTTGCTTTAGAATTTGATAAGTCATCCCGCTATTTGAGTGTTATATTGACGTGTGTTTGAATATTTCTAAAAATCAATTGCAATTGATGAAAGCAAGTCCACTCAATCCAATAAACATGTTTGATTTAGTGCCAGTGGTGAGTGTATTTTGTTTTTATTACATGCAAGGCAATACAAAAAATAAGTAAAACAGAGAAAGTAATATTCAATTTGAATTTTGTAAAGTATTAGTAGAATAAACATTTCCTGGACTAATTCTAGTTAGTTCATAAGATTAGATTATCTGTACTCTAACAATGGCCTTTAAAAATTGTATGAGGTAATATACCATGAGATTTACATCAATTACAAAAAAATATATATCTATATAATATGGTTTCATGAGACTTATATTATTGAGAAATGTTTCATGAGATCTATATCCATGAATATTTATTTTTAATAAGAATTATTATTATGTCTGTTTTAATGAGATCTTTATTCATGAGATTTATTTTCATTACATAATTGATAAGATATATCTGTCCATGAGATCGTTTTCCTGATCTATTTCATTAGATATTTTCATGAGATCTATTTGCAGGAAATATATTTCCATGAGATTTTTCATATAAGAATTATTGAATCCTCATCATTTTTACACATATTGAATCAAACAGTAAAATATATTCAAGATGAAATAGGCCTGTTCTTTGGATTGTACATTCATCTTAGATTTGTTGTATTTTTCTCTCAACATTTACTGTTATCATTCGTTGTGTATTATTAATAAATGTTTCAGTCTGTTGCATATTTTCGGATCCCTGTGTTTCTGTTGTTATTGTAGAAATGTTTAATTAGAATATAAGAAACAACATTACACCACATACCTCCATTACATCATTTAGTATAAATTCCCAACATATGTGTTATAATAGGCCTACATGAACATTTGACACTCATCATCATTATCCACAGTGATGAAATTATTTGTCAATTCCAGAAAGAACGCAAACACAACCTCCATGCACAAAAACAGAGAATGGAATGATCCCTGATCATACAACAGATTTTAAAAAATTAAATATAATTCAAGGTATTCAACAAACATTAAATCAATAAACTTAATAAAGGCAGGCAGGCCTATGCTGTTAAAGGAGTAAGTTTTCCAATTTTAAATAGTTTTAGAACTAATTTAATGTAATGTACTTTGTTACATACAGTAGTATCCCATCATGAAATTGCGAATCTCGTGTGCGCTCGTGATGTGGAAGCTCTCAACTAAATTGATGACGTTGAGAGATACGTCACGAGCGTTCACAAGGTTTGTAATTTTAGAAATGGGAATAACAAACTTTTTAAATAGAGATGATTCCCCAGGTGTTTCTCATCGCACTTTTTCAATGTAACGTATTCAGGAAGGTATTTGAAGGTGGTTTGTACGAAGACCGAGAGGGGACATGATTAAAACAAAATATCACTAACGTACGTATTATTATCACGTACGTAATAGTAATACAATTTTTTATTTATTTTTTATCATGTCCCCTCTGGGTCTTCGTAGGTTTGCATGACGAATCATAAACCGTAAGGAAAGCGAAGTATAATATTTTTATACTGTCCTCTTATTTCACTCTTTCGGAAACGCTTGGAAAATGACCTCAGGCCTAGATTCTGGAAACTGAAAAAAAGTCACGTGTAATACTGTATTAAAACCAAGAAAGGGTGAATCTTCATGTTTCATAGAATAGGTGGCGCTATATCTCTCATGTGCATTGTCACAACTTTACATCAGCTACTATAATATCATTGAGATATAATTCTAATCTAAAAGGTATAGAATAGAACTAAGGCAGTATTCATAGTGTAGGTACTATAACTAAGGCAGTATTCATAGTGTAGGTACTAGGCAGTCAATGAAATCAAGTTTAATCCTGGTATCCATAAAATCACTACACTGTCTCTACTGTGTTTTCACTGCAATCGTTGCAGTCTGTAGCTGTCTTCGATGCAGTCGGAAGACTGCCAAATTCGACGGACCAATCAGCATCGTCGAAAGCTGTTTGCGATAGCGTGTAGCGATTTTATGGAAATCAGGCTTTACTCACTTAAATACTTAACAGCACAAAAAATGTTTAAATGAGAGGCAATTGTAGGGCCTATTGGCCTATCGACAATTACCTCACCGGCAGGGGCAGCTGCAACGAAAATATCGACATCGGACTACCTTATCGTATTTCCTAGGTTGATTCAAAAGATTGCCGTATGTTTATGCATATGAAAATGAATCCACCTTCTTAAGTTGTCTATCATTAATCCATGTCCATATCATAGTCTTTTTAAGACAAAGACCGCCCATTTAGCATCATTTGAGTGCTTCCTTACAGTTCAACTGTAAGGAAGAAGTTCTCCAGATCATTCAATAATTTTAAGTTCGAAATAAAAATTAGGCCTAAATTCTAAAATCGGTAAAAGACTTAACAAACGTTCAAAAGAAGACAAACTGAACGGAAGTATCCGACGACTGATCCAAGAGAAAAAAAGACCGCGAATTTATTTATTGTCCCATTCCGCTATTCAATCGAAAACATGAAAGTTGTTAATGTTTCCTGTCTTATAACTACCAAGCCTGCTCTTGTGCTCCTAATTAGCCATTAACTGTTTGATGATGATGATGATTAAGATCGGATGATGATAATGACGACAACCACCACCACGATCATGACGACAATGAGGATTAGACCAAAAAAAAAATTGTTTGCTTGCCTTGCTTTTTTTAAATGATAAATACCGGTAGGGGCGGGTGGAAAAAGTTTTTTTTAAATATTCATCAGATGGAATAAAAATAATAGGCCATGGGGTGAAGCTCAAAAGACGTCTAGAAAACGAATTCCGTTCCGATTTTTTCATTATAAAAAATTTAGGCCTACAATAGTTAAGTAATATGTCTTGAATCAAATATAGAAAGTTCGACAAAAATATCTTCTGCAATTTTAAGAAAATTACCGTTTTATTACGTTCCTAGGCTGCTGGTCGTCGAAAACGCACCGCGATACAGCGGTGTAGAAGCACGTCGCGATCATACCATGAGCTGTCCACTTGCGTCAACTCGCATAAAATCGCGTCATTTTAGGTCAAATCGTGTCAAGTAATGTCGGATTGCGTCAGTACACGTGTATAAGAGACAAGTATAATTATTAATGAGAAATTTCAACAAAAAAACTTATTTTATTATTGTAATTGCAATTCTTTGACATTCTTTTCAAAACAATAATTGTGTAACAATTTAAAGAAAATGTATTAGTATTTTGACTTTTTTTGACTCCTGTGGTCTTCCTTTTGACAATGTGGCTGCATGTTCCTTGTATGTGTACTAAAGTACACACTTCATTCTTACAGNCTCCGGTTGACACATGTTGGGACACATTTTATTAAATAGACATTGAAATTTAATACTGTAATATGAAAAATTCATATTTATTTCTCAAATATTCTGAGAGCTTATACAATATATAACTCTATATTTATGTACTGTACACGTGTTATACATCTTAATAAAAGCTTCTTGCGCTCTAGTGAGTCTGTTACTTTTTAAATTTTCTATATAATACTTAATAAGTAAATACAGTGAAGCGTTTCGCAGTCATTGTGAGATTATTCTCATGGTTCTAAAGTTCGCAAGGGTTACACCGTTACATTATACGGTACTTTTTTTAACTTTTGTACATCATACATAATAAATAAAAATAGATAATGCTTTACATACTCCTGTGTCATTGTGTGTTTAGTCTCATGGTTCTAAGTTCTTACATTCTCATGGGTTTCACCATTACATTATAATTTTAAAAATTTTTCTATAATATATCTGTACAAAATGAATAAAAATAGATAATGCTTTACGTACTCCTGTGTCACGGTGTGTTAAATCTCATGGTTCCAAAGTTCTTACATTCTCATGGGCTACACCGTTACATTATACTTTTTAAAGTTTTCTTTATTATACCTGTACAAAATAAATAAAAATAGATAATACTTTACGTACTCCTGTGTCACTGTGTGCTAAGTCTAATGGTTCTGAAGTTCTTACATTTTCAAGGGTCACATGGTTACGTTACCTTTTTTAAATTTTCTATATTATATATAATAATGATGAAATAAGAAACACATCAAATCTCAATCAAACAAATCATCTATGTAAATTTCGTCTAGGTATTCATCGTCTGCAAATTGAGCATCTTCATTCATGGTGTCTTTATCATCTCTGTTC